TATGTGTGCAAGAAGTCCACTGGACTGATGCTGTGCAAAGAACCAGAATTCTTTGTTGTTGTTTGTTAGCTAGCTTCCATCCAAAATGGATTCAATCAGGGGCGCCTGGGCGGCGCAGTCGGTTAAGCATCCGACTCTCGATTTCAGCTCAGGTCGTGATCTCAGGGTGGTGAGATGTGAGCCCTGCTTTGGGCTCCAGCACTCAGCGCAGAGTCTGCTTGAGAGTCTCTCCCCCTCTCCCTCTGCCCCTCCCCACCACTCTCTAAATAAATAAATAAATAAATAAATAAATATAAATAAATAAATAAATGAATGAATGAATGAATGAATGAATAAATAAATAAATAAATAAATAAAATCTTTTTTAAAAATGGATTCATCAGAAGCAGAACCCTTGTTTCAAGTTAGCATGTTTAACCAGAAGAGAGGATTATAGAATCAGCTTAGTGAGTAAAATTAACTTACATAAAAAGTAGCTACACAAGCAGCTCCTTTTTGCTCCAAGTGCAGAAATTGACACATTTTCATTATAATCCCAAAGGATAAGATTCCTAGGGAACATGAGATGAAAAAAACAAACAAGTATCCGACAGCTTGAATATTTGGCAAAGGATTATTTCATTACCACAAGAAAGTTTTACAAGTAAAATAACACAAATTAAAATAATTTAAATAATCGTTACTTTGGCCCAAGAGAAAGGAGGAAAAGAAAAAGTGGCTCAGCAGCTGCCGCCTCTGATACCTGCCCGATTTCCCAAACGAACCCGAAAGGCAAGAGCAGCCTCGATCTTTCTGAAGTTGGGAGTCTTTTTCAAACCCACCAGAAATATTTGCATTTCTTTTATTTAGTGCCCATTTGCTTGTCATCATGGGAAAAAGAACTTCAGCTAGGACCCAGAATTCTAACCCTGAGGTGAAAGCCCTTCTTGGGGGGTGGCATAAGGAGAATTTGCTGTGTCTTTGTCATTCCTGCGGCCTTTTGCCCCAGCTAAGCAGAGCCGTTCAAGCTCCTTGTTTTAGAGCAAAACCAGACTCAGAAATCATTTCATCTCCTTTTTACTGATAACACTCAAAGAGGTTATAGCCCTTGCTTAAGGTCACACAGTGAATAAAGGCAGGGCCAGGGCTGGACTTGAAACTCTACAGCTCTGCATCAAACCAGCTACTGGGTTCAAATACCAGTTCTACCACTGATTGGTCGTGTGACCTTGGGCCAGTCATTTAACTTTTCTGCACTTCATCTATATAACAAGGACGGTTGCTGTACCCAGCTCATCAGACACTGTGAAGACTGGTGAATTATTTTGGTAAAGCCCCCAAAACAGTGCTAGTGCATGACAAGTGCTTGATCATCACCACCACCATCACCATCCTCACCACCATTAACACCACCGCCACCACCACCATCATCATCATTTCTCTGTAGGGTGGTTTCCATATACATTTTAGAATCCATTGAACCCTCGTGATTTATTCATGTTTAAGTATGATAGAGGACTTAAAAAATGTATTTTAAGTGTTGTATGATTTTCAGGGCAATCAAAATGTTAGATCTGAGATTAGTCATTCAGTCAAAGTGAGTTTCAATTTCTACATCTGACAAAAGACAACACTTGTTCTAGCTACCTCATACAATCAGGTAATGAGCATATGAAATGTGTACAATGGTGAAAAAAGAAAGGAAGGAGGTGGAATTTATGGAGGAACCACGGGTGCTCAGTGATTTACAACACTTAATTTAATCCTCCCCAAAACCCTGTTGTGGATCTCCCACAGATAGGATGGTCAGCCACTCAAAATTTGGTTTGAATGTCAAGACTGAAAATGCCACACACACACCAGCAGGGGATGAACAGGTTTCTTGCTCACATAATGGGGCTCTCTGGGGAGATCAGGCAGCTCCCAAATAGATCCCCAGTGGCTTAAGACAGAAGGGAAAGTAACCGGCCAGGGTGCGTGGACAGGGAGCTGCAGGCGGGGGTGGAGCCAGTAGCGCATGGGCGGGGCTTACGGGGTTGGAACCCCACCCCAACACCCAGGCTTTCCGATCAGCTTGCCCGGATGTGGAGCAGAAGGTAAGACTGAAAAGCTGTCAACGGTCACGCATCAAAAACCCAAATCAGACCCTGTATTACAAACCCTATGAGGTAGACCTCGTTCGCAAAGATGAGGAAACTGAGGCTCGGTCAGTTTAGATCACCTGTCAGAGCAGGTTTTAACTGTGGCAGCTCAACCTCAAAAAAGCACACCCTGCCTCCACACCACAGTTAGTTCCCAGAGCCTGTGAGTGCCTGTCACCGGGCGCCAACAGAAGTCGGTCAGCCGACCACAGGAAAGCCGAACACAGCCTAAATCCATTTTAATCCTAACGAGTGGCTTATGAGTTTCTTAATTTTCTCGAAAAAAGAAAGAAAAGAGAAGAGGAGAAGAGAAGAGAAGAAAGGGAAGAAAGAAAAGAGAAGAGAAGAGAAGAGAAGAAAGAAAAGAAACAAAACTTCCGAGTTAGGTTCCATTGTTTCCATTGCTAACATTATTGTCTTTGCGATGGGGGGAGGGGTGACACTCTGTTTAAAGGCTTCTCTTCACGTCCAGGTAAAATTCCATTTCCAGTGTATCCAGTGAGCATTAGGTTTTATTTCAGTAAGCACCCGACTGCAATGGCCAACATCCATTCCCCTTATCTGTAACTGAGCATGTGTAAGGGTTTTTTTCCCCCTCTGTTTATCTTCTCTATTGAGATGGCCTTCTTCCCGCCCCCCCCCCCCCAGAAAACGAGAGTCTCTAGTACAACTGCAAGATCATACAAGATTAAAATGAAATTATCAGGATTCAATTTTTTAGGGGTTATAAGGCTCTGAATCATCTCAGTTGAGTTCTTCTGGGTAACCAAGCCAGATCGGGTTCCAAATTTGCTAAGCTTTCCTGTTAGAATTAGACTTATTTCAGCTTTCTCTCCAAGGAGGAGCTCAGAACACCCGGTATTGCTTCTCCTCAGGTGGGCAGCACTCCACAGCTAACACTGCTGGAATGGGAGCTAGACAAGAAACCACAACTATTTTGAACCAGTTGGTTCTGCAATATTTTGGTTTTAGTTTGTGAGTCTTTTCTGGATGAATTTCATTACATATCAAGCCTACTACTTAGGACAAAAAAAATATTTATGTTTCTCTGTTAGTCATCTAGGAAACACTACAGAGGTATTTCCCTTTCTTGAAGATTCCTTATAATTTTTGAGTCTCACACACACACACACACACACACACACACACACACATCTCAGAGTTGGGTTAAATTCCCAATGTCCAGCTTTTCTTTCCCTTTACTTAAACTGAAGTACACACTAACCTACCGTCTCCTGTCCATCCCTACTATACTCGGAATCTGAACCAACTATTTCTTTCCAGGATGGACTTCAGATATATAGAACAGCAGTTCGACAGAAGCATTCAGGGAACTCATTTCTTCAGGCAAAGTGATATACACCATCAATCAATGGGGGGAAATTAGTAAGCAAGATTTTGTCCTAATGGTTAGAGAGCCTCCAACAGCAAATCCCCAAACGGTCATCATGCCCCAAATCCACCCGGATGGTCATATCACACACACTCATCATCATCATCATCATCCCCTTTGAGGAATTAAAGCTTATTGGAACCAGTTAACAAAGAAGGGCACAATAATGAAAAGACAGATTCAGGTTGGGAATTTGCTACTAAAGAAAACAAAATTCTAGGAAATAGCAAACATTCTGGCTGTCAAGGTCAAGCTTCTCAATCCCTTTTAGCTCTATTAAAAAATATATATTAAAGCTTATCTCATCTCATGTCATATGTGGCCTTTCTTCCCCTACAGAAAGAAGAGTCCATTTGGGCATTCTCTAAGTAACTCTTGGAGCATTTTATAAAATGTTTATGAAACAAACTCCTCCACTCCAAATGCATGAAAGAAAGCATCTGATCCCAGATATGTTTCACATTCACCTGGTTTAACTGAATAATTCCAGAGAAGTTCATTATTTGACCCTGCCCTGGAACAGAGACTTGGGAATTTTCTACCCGCACACACCCGACTCGCCTATTTGAAAATGTTGATGTTAATAGGTTTCACTGAGCTTTAGCATGTATTTGTAATCCAGCCTCTTTTATTATGTTCTGCCAAATTCTCTTGTAAATCCCAAATCCACGCGCGGCCGCTGGCCATCTCCCATCCCTCGCGCCGCGCCACGCTTCCTCGAAGCTTCCCAGTGCCCTGCTCACGCCCTGAATGCCCGTCCCAAGCGTGCGCCTCGAGGAGCGGCCATCCCGGAGCGAGACACACCGAGCCCCACGCACAATGTCCCCTCGAACGTCTCTGACTGTTGCAACACCCCCTCCTAAGCCCAGAAAGGGCTGGTCGCAGGCCGCGAAAAGGCAGCTGCCCTCCCGGCCTCCAGCTGCCAGATCAGAGCCTTCAAGGCTGGAGGAAAGGAAACAAAGTGTCCGACCACCGGGCACGGAGCCCGCCATCACCCGACTCCCATACCGCGCACCCTCGACACACGCAGGGGCCAGCGGGACTGGGAGCGGGGGCCGCTTGGACACTGAACACCTCGGCGGGGACGCTCGGAGCTGGCTCCCCTGAGCTGCCCCGGCGAGCACTGAGACCCCGCTCTAGCGGAGCGTGGCTTGGCCCGGGCCAGGAGGGGCGCGCCACTTGGGGGCCAATGGTCGTGCCAAGAGTAACGGCGTTAGGGTGGCTGCCAGGCCCTGGAGCGGCGCGCCCCGAGAGCCCCGGGCTGGCACGGCAGGAGAGCTGGGGTGGGTAGGGAAGAGGCACTTGCTAGGTCGGCCAGGGGTTCGCACCCACGCGGGCCAGAAGGTCAGATTCATCCCCTCCCCGAAGAAGGAGAAGCTGGTGTCAAGCATGCTGGAGCCCCGCGCCGCGCAGCGCGCAGCGTCTGGCGGAGAGAAGCTGCTGGTCCCGGGCCGGCGCCCCGCCCCACGGCCGCCGGCTCCACTCACCTGGCAGTTGGCGCCGGAGACCCCGGCGGGGCAGGTGCAGCTGTAGTCGGGCTCGCCCGCAGGGGCCGGGGACTGCGGGCCGGGCGCGGGGCGCGGGCTGCACACGCCCCCGTTCCGGCAGGGCTGCGCGGCGCACGGCCCGGGCGCGGGCAGGGGCGCGGCGGGCACCGGGCTGGCCAGGCAGCCGCCGCGGGGCCCCGCGCCGAGCAGCAAGAGCAGCAGGGCCGACGTGGGCAGCAGCTGCGCACCGGGCGCCGGGACGCGGCGGGGCGGCATGGCCGACCGAGTGGGCGCGGGAGCGGGAGCCGGAGCTGGGGCGCGGCGGCGGCGGCGGCGGTGGCGGCGGGAGCGGCGGCGGCGGCGGCGAGGGCTGCTCCGCTGGGCCGGGCGCCTCCTGCAGCTGCTGGGATCCGCGGTTCCCGGGGCAACGGAGGGCGGGGCCTGAGGGGCGGGGCAAACGGGGGCGGGGCTCCGGGCGGGCGCGGGCGGGGGAGGAAAGGGGCGTGGGGACCCTTCCCCAGCGGAGAGTTGGGACGCGAGGAGCGCAAAGGTCGCCCCGGGCCCACAGGCCTGAGGGGTGCGGTCAGAGTCGCGGGTGTGTCCAAAAGAACCCCGAGGGGCAGCGGCGGCGGCGCGGGCCCGGCGGGGAGCTAGGCGGTGCTCGGGAAGGAGAGGGGGTGAAGGGGTCAACGTCGGCGCTGGGAGGAGGGCGGGGCGGCCCCGGCTCTCAGCAGCGGCCCGCGGCCTCTTGGCGCAGAATCGGCGGGACCGCTGCGGGGCCCGGCCTTACCTCATTCCCCCGGCTACTCCTCCCCTTCCCACAGCGCTCCCCTGGCACACACAACCCGCCCCGCGCCGCCACCGAACCCCGGAGCCCCGACACCCGTTCCTCCGCGGGGCTTGCTGTTTCCCGGGCGTGGGCCCAGCCAGCCCCGGACCCTTGTCCTTGGTGCTGACCGAGGAGTCTCCTTTCTCTCGGGCTCTTTCCCGAGGGCGGAGCCGGCCGTGCTACTCAGAAACGTCTGACTGTGGCGTGTGAGAGCTGGAAGAGACCTCAGGATCAGTGTCCAACCCTGTCGTTGAGCCGACGAGGAAACTGAGGCCCAGACAGGCTGGACTGGAACCCAGTGGGTCACTTGACTCCCAGCCCAGAACACTGTCAGTCTTCTGCAAGAGCAGTTCAGGAGCACAGGTTCACAAAGGCCCTGCCAGGATTTACTATGGAGCTCTGTGTAAAAGGAACATCCACCGTGACCTACTTGGGGAAAGGGAACTCTTCTAAATGTCCGGGTTAGGCTGGCTCATGCTTTGACAGCCAAGGAGGTCAATTTCCGTTGCATAAACGCAACCGGCTTTGTCTCCACCACCCGACCTTTCACAACCTCTAGGTATAGACTCCCAGGTACTTGTTACCTTCTTTTTAAGGTGGCCTCGTGAGAAAAGAAAACGTGACTCTCGTGGTTTGACAGTTGGGAAAATTTTTTTTTTTTTTTTTTTTTTTTTTTTTAGGGCTCACAAAAATAGTTTTGTAAAAGCTGGGCAAATAAGAAAGTAGAGAATCCACATGAACCCATGCATGGAGGTGCCCCAGATGAGCAACCAGGACCTGCTAAAAGTGTCCAGTGAACATAGGCAAACTGAAGAGCCTCTCCCAGTCCTGCACAGGGAGGAACAAATGTCAGGCTTTTGTGCTTAGGAAGATGCCTAAAATTCATGTGGTCATTGCAAGAAATGGTTGAAACCCAGATGCAGCTGCATGCAGCAGGGGCAATACAGACCTCCAAGTGGATCAAACAGTTACTACATATTCCCTCACACCCGCAGTCTTTTATATGAGACTTCTTTAAAAAAAAAAAAAAAAAAATCTTAATTTTATGCCACGCCAGCACCCTCTGCTGGTACTAGTCTCACCATTCAGATGTTTCTTCCACTTTCTGTGCCCCCGGATTATGTGTTCTTTCCTGAAACTAACTTCTCTTACCTTAAATCCTGAAAAAAATGCACTGAAAAAGTGCTGCTCACTCCCTTCCGTCAACACACACTCAAATGAAGTGTAAGGAAGTTTGTAAGCTAATTAAAAATCACACCTTGGTTTCCTATACTTTTACCTAAGCAACCTCGTTGTGTGTGAATTTTGTATCACTTTGAAATATGGAAAAAAAAACTAACACTGGTTTTATTTTCTGGATGCTGATTCTTGAATTTTCCAGATAATGTTTAGCTTTTGTAAAAGTATTCTGTCTTTAAAAAGGTTATTACAGCAGAGACAATATAAGACCATTTCATTTTTCTCCAAACTAAAAAGAAAGACTAAATCTCCCAGCCCCCTTGCTGATAGGTGGAGCCATGTGATTGGTTTTGAACAATAGAACATAATGCTTTGCGCTCTGGCCCCAAAACATCCACACACCAAATACCATGTAAGTGTTTATTATTATTATTGCTGTTATCATTCTTGAAAAAGTGGGTCTTTTCTTTGGCTTTGAAGGCTGATTTGGTACTTGGTTGACAGTTTCCAACCATCTGCAAGACCCCCAAATACCAAACTACAGAGTCCAACTAATATATTACCTTGCCTTATTAACAGAAGTTATTGAAATACTGTTGGTTCTACATTTAAATACCAGCTAAAAAAACCGAGTATCATTGGGTTCATATTATTCCAAACTTACAGAACATCAAGTCTTCACCCTAATCCATCTCATTTCCCTTCTTGATAGAGGCCCAACATTAATAAGTTGACGACAAAATATAAAAATGTGTCTTAATTTCAGTAAAGAATGTGATAGAATTCTCATGATCACCTTAGGGAGAAAGTAGACTTGAAACCATTGAACAAGTATAGTCTGAACATTCTAGTCAGTGGATCTCTACCAGGCTAGAGGAGGTTTTTAGGGAAATGCCATAGAATCTCAAAATTCGACAGTTAATACAATTCATTCCAGAATCAGGATGTCAAATTATCTCAACCAGTAAAAATGCTGAGCTAAAATAAGTGAAATAGAGTATTAAGTCAATGATGGTACATTTGGCCTTACCGCCATTTGCCAATATTTCTGTCTCTCCTTCTTTTAAAAACTTCTCTTTAGGACTATATTTTCCTGTCCCCTTGAAGTTAGGTGTGGTCATACGACTTGCCTTGATCAATGAAACATGAGGGGAAGTAGCATGTACCACTTACAGGTGCATGACTCATGTGACCAGGCTGACCAGCAAGACTCCAGAGAGATGGAGGATCCTCCAGCCCGGTCCCTGCGGGAGGACAGTGTGGTGAAGCAATGGGAACCTGCAATAGGCATATGGTGTAAGACATAAATCGTTGTAGTTTTAAGCCACTGAGAATCAGCGATGTTAAATAACTCCAGGTCACACACTAGTAAGTCGCAAGGCAAGACTAATTATCCCCAATGAGCCATGTAGCAGGACCAGCTAGCTCGGATGGACTATTCCAGTGAGATAGAAGACTGGATATGTAATTGGGGATTCCAAGGTCTCTGGATCTAATGGAACAGAAAAATTTCAAGAAACAATGTGGTCCATTTTTTTCATGGATCTACTCCAGAGTTATAACTCAACTGCATTATACTGTAGGATGTTATAAAAATGTTACAAACCAATGCAAATATAATTGTGTTTGTTTTTTGCATTTTGTCACAAGAGAAAAAATGCTCCCACACTAGCACCAGTTCATGGGCATTTGGGGAACTGCTGGCCTCAATGAGAGCAACACTCCTCTTCATGGGGAGGTTCTCATACCCTATGACCTCCAGAGCATCCTGTGGGAATGCTGGTATCAATGCATAGTGTGATGATCCATACACTTAGAATCTCATAGTCAGAACAAATTGCAGAGGTTACCTGGTATGATCTCCCAGGGTCAGAACTAAGATCCAAACTGGAACATGTACATGGTGTGATAAATCACCTTCAGCTTACCTGGAGCTCCACAGGTACTAACATATGCATCTATCAATGATTGAACACTCACCTTCTCCCCTAAAACACTTAAGTTTTCTGCAACCCTTGGCAGATGGATCCCTACCCCTCTCTCTGCACCAGAGTTGCCTGTAGACAGTGATGTCATTATTATTGCCTTTTCTCACTTTCAGTTACTCTTTAAAAATAAAGGGGGACAGGGTGCCTGGGTGGCTCAGTTGGTTAAGCGACTGCCTTCAGCTCAGGTCATGATCCTGGAGTCCCGGGATCGAGTCCCGCGTCGGGCTCCCTGCTCAGCAGGGAGTCCGCCTCTCCATCTGACCTTCTTCCCTCTCATGCTCTCTCTCTACCATTCTCTCTCTCAATAAATAAATAAAAATCTTTATAAAAAAATAAAAATAAAGGGGGACATTCCTGCCCCCCTGCAGAGGGTGGGCCTTGATGCTGGATTGAAGCTGGAGTCAGCTTGGAAAAAAGTCAGCCACACAACCTAGAGAGAAGGGACATTGTTACACTGCCTGACAATTTCCTGCCATGAGATCAGCACCAAACAGCTTACCATGACCAGTTGCATCAGGAGCCATGATGATGTTGGGCAAATTACTCAGTCTTTTTCACCTTCAGTTGCCACATAATATAGAGATAGAAATCCCTAAGTTGGAGAAGGTCATCAAAGGAATGTGATGGCCGATTGACCTGCAAATTGGTTACCTGTGCAATTAGAGGCTCCTCACCCCCATCCTCGCTCCCATCCTCACCCCATGTCCCGGGAATGTACGTTCCATCCACTCTTCTTATAGCCAGAGCTATTCAAAGACATAGCCTTGAGAGAATAAGGTGCTGTTGAGACCATCTGGACTAAATATGTGACTGAACCCAGTTAAGGTCTCCATATAAACCCCTAAGATTCTGGTGGGCAGGTGTAGAGATCTACTCATATTGCTGAACGCCAAGACAAACCTCATATGTTAAGTTCTCTTGCTTATTAAAATTGCCTCACCAATCTGGAGTGACCTGCCTCTCTCTTCAGTTTCTCCTTGTCTTCCATGTATGGGATCCAGTTTCAGATTTCACCTGGTAAGCTCCCAAGGTTGTAAAACAAAACCCTACTTGATAGAGATCTTGGGAAAACTAAATGGGCTGATACCATGTAGTAATGTGTGGAATATGTGCAAAACATACTTATATTTTTTTTACATATTATCTCATTTAATCCTAACCCCAGACCATAAGGCAGAAACCCAATTAAAAGAAGAAGACAAAATTAAGGTGCAATGAGGTTAAGTAAATGGTCTAAAGTCACCCAGTACACAAGTAGAGTCGCCAGAACTTGAGCATAG